TTGCCATGTCTTGTATTCAAAATGACATCAAATTCATTTTTCACTTCATATTCTCATAATTCAAAATTTTATGAGTTTACTACTATTTCGTTTCTGTTTTTTGTATCATATTGTTAAATAGTAAAAAATTTTAACTTAAAATTTTTATATTTTTGTAATTCAAGGATACTTTATCATATAATATGTAGTACAGATAGATACTTGAGTATATAAGTATAATGTGTATGAAAAATATAAATTTAGAATCGAAAAAAATTGTGTTTTTTTTTCTTCTTATTTTTAATATGTAAAAAAAAAATTGTAATATTTTACACTTACCCAGAAAAAATAAAGCTAATAAATTTTTTATAACATATATAAATATATATATATGTATGTTTGTATATATAAAAATGTCAAAAAATTTTTGATATTTGATTTAATATTGTCACAATTTTCAGCTGATCCTCATATTTTTTCTTATACTTTTTGTACTTGTATTTGTAATTTTCCTTTTTTTTTGTTGTTTTTAATTTTTGTTTTTTTATTATTAGCGTAATTTGAAAGGATAAGAGAAATTTAATATAACATTATTATATGAGAAAACAGAAAAAATCAAAAAAAAAAAATTAAGAATGAAAAAAAAGAGAAAAGAAAAATTTTTTGATCTCTCAAATTGAGTGGCGACAGGCACTTTTATTTTTATTATAATTGTTTTCTGCTTCAGCTTTAATATTTTACTTATACCGTTTAATTTTTTAATAATTCTGAATTAAATTTAAAATATTAAATTATAATTGTTTTTTTTTTTTTTAAAGAAAAACGTGAAATATTTCAATCACATTTTATACATGTGCCCTAAAAAACTCTATTTTTTGTGTTTAATAATTTTTATTTTTTTTTCTATGCACACACACGTACACACACTGTAGTACTATTCAATTATTGTTCTCACGTTTCTATTATTAATTTTATTAACTTTCCTTCTTTTGTATTCTACGGTATTTTTTGATCTATGAATAGTAACGGTAACAGGATATAGAATAAAAGAATTCAAATAAATCAAGAACAAAAAACAAGCAGCAAAAAGAAAAGAAGAAAAAAAATAGAAAAACTCAAGATGATTTTTTTTTTTTTGTTATTTTTACTTTTTATATTGAAAAAAAAAATTTAATTTTTCTTTATTTTTTGGTTTTCGAAAAATTGTGTAACACACACAGTGTATAGCGTAGCGCACACAAAAATGAATGATTTCGACTGACTAACACCTAAGAGGATACTCAGATATTTTCACGCCGGCAGCATCCTTTTTTACTCGTTTTTGCTTTTTTTTTCGTTTTTATTTTATATTTATGTTTTTTTCTTTTATTTTTTTTTTGCTTAACTTTTAAATACATTTTTTTTTTCATGTTTGCTTTCTATAGTCGCGCTGTTATTTTTGTTTTTGTTGTTATTGTTTTTTTTTCGGTATTATTTTAATCCAATTTTTGTGAATTTTTAACACCCTAAGGCTATTTTTGCTTATTTGTCATACAGACAAACAAACATATGTGTATCATAAAAATATAAACATAAATGTGTAACATACGTGTATACAAACATACATACATATAGGAAATAATATTAGAAAAGATGACGAAGAAAAAAAAAAACAAAACAAGACAAAAAAAAAAAACGAGAAAAAGAGGAAGAATTATTAAAGCCAAAAATAAAACATAGGAAAAAAATACCACGTATTTACAACAAAAAAAAAGAAACAAAAATTAAAAATCAACAAAAATAACAACAAATTCAAAAGTTTTATAGCTTTTTTTTCTTCCTTTTAAAATAGATGAAAATTACGTATGAACAAACATACACACATTTTACAGTCCTACATACACGTGCACGTACACGTTAGCTAGAATGTTTATTTTAATACACACTTATAAAAATATTTTTAATAAAAACAAAATTCTGCGTTGTATTTTTGTGTGTGTGTGTATTCTAAGGCTTAAGAAAGGTAATTGAAAAAAAAAATGGAAAAGCTCTTGTTTTTGATTTTTGTTTTTTTTTTCTGTTTTTCTGCTGTTTATTTGTAAAAAGTATCAGATTCTTTTACAGATATTTAAAGTTATTGTTATTGTAATAAAAAAAAAAAGGAAAAACAATTAAAAACAAATCAAATAAAATTAAAAAATAAAAACAAATTAAAATGCAAAAAGAAAAAAAGTGCAATTCTACTATTACAATTGAAAAAGGACAAAAAAATTTTTTACAGAGTCACTCAAAAATATTTTCGATTTTCGTAATGAAATCAACAATTAGAATAACTAGAAATAAATTAATTGGGTACAGAGAGTGTCAACTTAATTTCTATTCCTAAATAAATAAGAATTTCCCATATTAGATAGAAAAGGTGAAATTCTAAAAATAACACCACTTACAACGTCATTTTATAATTAATTTTTTTATTATTCATGACATTAAAATTTGAAAATTGCTCCAGGAATAAGATTGACCATCGCTGTTCTTAACAAGACTAGAATATGAGCTTAATCGTTAAATGCCCATTTGTAAACAACGACCCACTATTGACGACTAATCCACTATTAAGAACTAATTTATTTACTTATTTATATAAAGTTATATAAAAAATTTCTTAGGGAAATAATAAAGAATATTTCTTCATAAAACTGGCCGAACAGGTGGGAGTCGTAGATGAAAAAACGACTTAAAGCAGAAACATTTTAATTAAAAAATGTGTTCCCGTCAAACTGGATTTAAATTAGTGATCTATGCTCGCTAAATGAATGCTTTACTTACAAAACTTATTTGATAAAAATATCAAAGTAAAAATTAATCAAATTCAAACAAAAAGTTACGAACTACTTCCATAGTTTTTAATCACTTTAATGCCAACTCAATCAACTGCAAGTGGAGTATGGAGCAGTTGCTTGACATCGTAAGAGAACCTTTGGTTTCGGCAGTCATGAATACATAGGTTTTAATACATAGACGGTAATAAAAACCTGGTTCCAAATAAAATTTTTTTTTTGGATTTTGACCGATTCTTTTACTTGTCTATTCCATTAAACTTATGGGTGCAAAATTGTTCAGACTAAAATGCATAAACTTACGGCGCAATTAATTAAAAAATTCATAGATGCAAATGAATTTCAAGTGTTAAAATTGCTCCTTAAAAACAAAATTTTTGATATAAAATTTTTTACGTCGCATAGCTTTATAATATTGAGTGAATCATTCACTACGGAAGACGACATACATACCCCTATATTTTCATTTCCATCTTCCTCCTCAAATAAGGATAATATTACATTGTTTAATGAATATTTATTCATAATCTGAATTTGATTTCAAATTCAAATATTTTATTCACAAAAAAAAAAAAATTAAAAAAAACAGTGTTCAATAAAAGCTTCAACAATAATGTTTAGAGGGTCCTATTGGCAAGTATAAGGCTGCTTTATGTTAAGAAGAAAACAAATCAAAAAATAAATTAATATACTTGACAAAAACTTGAAAGCTTTACAAATACATAAGTTAAAAACAAGTGTTTTGTTCTCTAAACAAAAGTTTTGTTTTTTTTTTTGTGAAAATTTTACATACACTTCAAAAAATTTCTTGAAAAGCTTTTTAAATTCAAAAAAGAATCATTGTTTGAAGGGGAAAATATACGCTAATTAGGTGCAAGTTAAAAGCTTTCAATATTTTATATGTGTGTAATTTGAAAAATTTGAATTCTTCTACTATCCACTAGATGATGACACTAAGCTGCTTTTTTTGTTTTTCGTATTCATTGTAACTGAAAGGATATTCGCATGAAATTACCAATATTTTAATTTTAAAACTATTGATAAATTTTGTTTTTTAAAATTACTTAAATTTTTAAAAATCACTTAAATTTCTTGAATATTAAATTATAGAAATACAGATATAGAAATATAAAGCACCTATTGAAGTCGAAGTATATAATGTACATATGTATGTAATAATTTTATCACTTGTCACTCATTTTCTGTGATAACTTTAAAAATTATTTCCAAAACTCTAAAACAAATTAATTGTTTACAGTTATTGTGTTACAGCAATAACATGATTTTGGTTAGTCACGTACGATTAGGTTAAAGCAGCTCAATTTGACAGTCCCAGAATATATTCGATTATATATTGTGCACGTTCGACTGCGTGATTGATTTTCAATATTCGTTAAGTGTTCGATGCAGAACACTTATTCAGTTAATGAATATTGAAAAGCGTAGTCTCTAATCGTATAGCATCCGTTACGTGGTGGAAAAAGACATCTGAGAATACTACAAATGATTCAATTATGCGGACGACTGCAGTTTCCATAGGGAAAGCGTTACTGAACATATCTTTACTGCATTTTAAAATTATTAATTAAATCAGGTTGTTTATTCAAAGATTTGGCGGCTTGATCGAACAAAGTTTTTGAGATTTTGGTTTAAAATCTCGTGTAATTGGTAATTGCATTTGAAAAATTCTACTTAAATCTCAATTAATTTGAAGCATTGTTTGATTCCACAATATTAATCACATTTTTTATTAAAATACTAATGTTATTGTATTCTTTGGTAAAATTACCAAAAATTATGTTAAAGACGACTCGAAGACACAAATTTTTTCATGTGCATTAAAATCCTGCAATGTAGCAAATCACTATATTCGTATTCATAACTTAAATATTGTATTTCTCTAATTTAAATGGCAACATATTTTCTTCTTTAATATAAAATACTTTAAAAACCATTAATCATAATAAAATTATATTTATATCGCAATGCAGTTGGGAACAAATGACAAAATTTATTGCAGTTTTGAAAATTTTGTTATTAATAAAAGACTTAAAATTGGGTTCTTAAAAAAAATTTTTTGTTTTTCAATGTAAACGTGAATTTGAGTAAAGAATTAGAGTTGCCAAAAAACTATTTTTAATTCTAAGGAATTTCAATTTTGACTTAGAGCCCCACTCCCCCCCCCCAAGGTATACGTAGAAAGTTTTAACAATTTAATATTACAAATTTACTATTATTCGTTGTGATATGAAGTCAACCAAAAGAATAATTATTTCGTAAAAAAAAAAACAAAATAGAAAATCGTTGTTCCAAACAACAAAGTAGTTATTGTGCCCATATGAACTGTAATCGTAAAATATTATACCACTCCTACCTCGCCTATAAATGAACCCACCAAATTATTTTAAATAACTATAAGTAACACTCATTCGAGCATTAATGTTTTAGTTAGTCCGCATTCAGCAATTGAAGCACTTTAAACAAATATTGCAACTATTTTATTCATGCAAAGAATATTACATATTTTATATAGACCGCCTCTATAATAGAATCTTCATTCGACTTTAAAAATAAATTAAGACTTTCCCTTGAAATTTTTGACGCTCTAATATTGAATTCACAGTATTTTTAAAATTGCATAAATTGTTTAGCGACTGTCATGATAATCACGAATAATTTTCAAAATCAGAAGTTCATTTTAAGAGAAATCATGCTATAAATGAACTTGAAATCAACAAACTTTCCTACATTGGAAACAACCATGTTGGAATATTTAATTCTGTTTAATAATCAATAAATTATCAAATTAGCAAAGTGTAAGATTTGATTCTTAAGATTTTTTTTTTATTTAAAAACCGCCCCAAAAATAAAGTAAAAGAAATTTCAAACCAAAATACACTCAAAAGGTTTAGTTTCTCCTCTTTCTTAGCATATTTCCTTTTAAAAATTTTGTTATTTTAATTTCTTTGCACATTTTTCGTCCTCATATTTTGATTTCTCTTTTTTCAATTAGTTTTATTCTAACTAATTTATTCTATATGCTCGAAAGGACACAAATATTATTAAAAGCCGGAGAAAAAATAACATCATCACAGCATACATTGGATTGTGTAAGGAAGAGAAAACCATAATGACAAAAAATGAAAACTTAACATGGAAATTAAAAAAGGATGGTCAAATGACCTTAATAACGATTAAAATGGTTTCACTGATAGCTTATTTTTGCTACGTAATTCATTAAAAATATAATATGGACACACATGTATTTTTAAATCACACACACACATCTGTATATTCATTCATATTTATGTAACAATTCTGTGAAATTAATAATTACTAAAAATATATAAAAGATATGGAAAAAACACGAATTTCTTTATTAATCCTTTTAGTTTTCTGCTGCATAACAAATTTGAAGGTCATTTTGGTATTCAAGAATTAAAAGGACTTAACAATTTCATTATCAACCTAAAATTGTAGATTCACATCAATAAAATCAATTAAAATTTCAGATAAGTATTCATCGACAAGATTTCGAGTTTTCTTTACCAATACAGCACAACAGTGGTGCCAACCCTGTTTGATCGCGAGTACATTCTTTCTTACAAAGTACTTCATCAAGAAGCATACTTATATGATAACTTATATAATTTGACTGTTACTAATATTTTAATATCTTTTATATTTTGTCTGCTCATTTATTCATTTAATTAATTATAGAATATTATTTATTGAAATTTTATAATAAATAAAAAAGTACTTACATAATTCGGTGATATGCATCCGGCTGTGGGTGAGCCGGTGGTGGATACGTCAGGGACTGATCACTTTCAGTGGAATCATCGCGTAATGTTGCGACACCTAATGGTAGTATTGGTATAATAGCAGCTGTGGCAGCTGCCGCTGTTGCTGGTGGGCCCGCCACCACCGAACGAGATGGAGGTGGCCCTGTTGCAGTCTGCGGTGATGGTGTCGTGCTTATTACAGCCTAATAGAAAATAAATAGAAAATTGTAAAATTCATTATATTCCTTAACGTTTTTGATTGTGGTAAAAATTTGAAGAAGTTAATTGATTCATTATGAATTTATGATCTATAACTAGGGAGGGGGAGCATATATATTAGAACTATAATGTTTTCATATACTTATGTTTTATTAACGGTACTTCTCCAAAAACTGCCATTATTATTGTATTGTGTACTTATATTCGATTTTTAACTTATTCCTTGATAGCATCAATAATTCATGGCATAAAAACATTTTTTATTAGCTTGTTTTGGACGGCCAACCGATATGAATTTCTCCAAAAGCATAGAAACATGTCAAAAACTCAATTTATATTTTCTTCGACAAAGTACGAATTAATAATTATTCTTACTGGAAACCCCATAAAACATAAATTTAAACCGGTTTTTGTTGAGCTTTAGGGTAGAAGGCTATAAGATCCCTATATGATTTTGTTAAATTAAAACAATAGGGATGAAGATTCAAAAGAAAACCAGTTCCTGTAACTACTTTTACAATATAAATTTTACAAAATAAACTTTTTACAAGAAAGCTTTCAGTTTAATTGAAGAAATTATCTGAGCATTGCAGGTGGAAATTTTTGTCAAATAATAAATTCATTAAAATAAATCTTCCTGCAGCAATAAATATAGGTTAATATAAAAGTAAAATGCCGCTAAAATTACGCAAAATATAATTTTGTCTTCTAATCATCGTAAAAGTGTTCATGTAAAATGTTCAAAAATGTTCCAAAGATTTGAAGAAGTGTCAAGGCAGATGTGTAGTGTTTAGATAAAATTTAACGAAAAATCTATTCTATCTAATGGTTCTTACATTTTTATGTTTTACCTTTAAAATTTTGTTAAAAATAGTAAAAATTCAGAAACATCTCAAGGTTTAAATCGTTAATTACTAATAAAAGATCAAAGTGTTGATAAAGAAGCTTACGGTCGTTTGTAAAATGTTATGGAAAATAGCATATTCCTTTGGCGAACATAGTTTTCAAAACGTGTACAAATAGAACGGTTTTAAAGGGGTTTCGAAAACAACAATGGCTCTACGAACTGTCTGTTGTTTATCTAAATTTGCTCCATTGAGCTCAAAGTTATCCCTTAATGTGATAAGTATAACACAATAGGTTTAAGTTGCAGACCATTTGTCAATTTCATGTCATATATCACGTGTGCGTTTGTGTGTTGTAAACAATACACCAAGTGTCCAACTCTTACTTTTTCTCGGGCTATTAGTCTTAAAATTTCCATAAAAATATTTTATTCTTGCTTATAGCTTATTCAGGAGACATGATTACGAAATATTTGAATGCCAAGTAAAAAGCTGTAACAATTTTTCAAACAGCTTCAATTTATGCATAAATATTCTTTGTGAATTTATAACTATTTTAAGTCAAACCCAAATCTCCTAAATTTGCTAATGAATGCCAGTAAACACAAATAATCTGACACAAATATCTCTAGTAGAATCCTTATATGAGACAAAAAAAATGAAGAAAAAACATCTTAAGAATTGCTCTTTTTAATTACCTTACTTCCGCCCGCCTCTGCTATTTCACGTCGCCTTAATTCAAGCGCTTCTTTTTCTTTTTCAGATGATCTACTACGAAAAGCACGTGGTATACTCCTATCGTATGTACTACTATCGGCGTACGGTGATTTTATTTCACTAACGTATGTAACACCAGACGTAGGAGTACTCTTTTCACTTTGAGTTAACTGGTGATGTGTTAAATGTGTTTGTGGGTGCTGTTGTTGATAGTGTTGTGATGGTTGCCCTAATATTTGTTGATGATACTGATTAGATTGTGTTGAAGTACCTTGTTGTGAATCTATTGAATGTTGTTGTGATTGTGCCAACTGTTGTTGCTGTAATTGATATTGTTGTTGCTGTTGTTTTAATCGTCGATCCTTTTCATTTGCTCTTCGTATTTCTAAATCAAGGAGTCGTGCTTCACGACTTTCTTTATCACGCTAAAAATAGAAAAGGTATAAAAGAAATAAAAAATCACAAATAATAAAGAGAAAGAAAAGTAAAAATAAATAATTAAAAAGAGTTCAGAGTAAATGAAAATAAAAAAGTTTTTGTAAACAAAAAGGATTTATACATTTTTTTATGTGTGTAAGTACTCATTATAAATATACCAACATACTACATATAATGAAGGTCTATATAACAATTTATCCTTTGAAAATATTTTGGTTTTGTGTTTAAATTTGACAATAGAACGAATTTTGTATGAATGAGTACACAAATACAAATAAAAAGAATAATAAGAATAACAATTAGAAAGAAAGGCGTAAAACCAAATTTTTAGGGTCAGGGCTTGTGTAATTAAAGAGGTTATGTTACATTAGAGGGGCTTTTTAATTATTTAACATAATGATTTAAATTTGTTTTATTTTCTTGCTTCATCCTTTTTTTTATTGTTCTTCTTCATTTTAATAAAAATAATATTCAAAAGATTGGGTTAAAAACGTTAACAAAAAGAGCTTTGTGTTTTTATGCCATATTTTCTTTGCTTAAAATTTTAAAAGCATTTGAAATTCATAAAAAGAAAATTTTAAAGGTTAAAAATAAATTACAGAACAAAAAATTAAAAATTAACTACTTTTGAATGAATGTAAAATGGTGTTTATCTTCGATGATGGGACGACACTTATTTGACATAAAAAAGTAGCACCTAATTAATTAAATAGCCTGACTACATTTCAAACAATCAATTATTAAGAAAGATTATAAATAAATTGCAGATTAAATATTGCTCCGTACGTGGGATTGGCGCATATGCATGTTTTGGAAAAAGTTAATAACGCGATACAACTTTTACTAAAATTAAAGATTTTTAATTTAACAAGAGTTTGATATTAAAATTAATATTAAGAATGAAAATAAGCATTATACGGCACGACCAGTCCACTGTGAAGTATAGTAGTTCCATACAATTTTTTAAATTAAACTTTTCAAATCGCCTCTTATTCCTAATTACTTTGAATCTACTAATAGAAGAAAGACTATTTGCAAAAGTTTTAATATTTTAATGACTTTGGAAGGTCACAATTTGAAAAGTAAAAGAGAGAAATCTGTACAAGTTTGCCAAACAGACATATGAACCAACGAACACGCAGATGACAAGCAATATAACTGACAAGAAGATTTTTTTAATATTTTTTAAAAATGCGGTAAAACTAATTCGAACGACCACCTTTATATTCTCGGACAAGCATATTATTCAATTTAAATATAAATTTTGAGTACATAATTTTCACGAGTTCGCAAAACCTAAAGTCTCTAAAACAAATTAATAAGTCACTTAATGTAAAATAAATTTTTTTTTACCTTATAATTTATGGCTTCTTGTTCAAGTTTTTTATGTTCGTTTTCGCTACGCTGCCTTTCGCGTTGCTTTTCTTCGTCAGTTTGAGCAGTTTTACTATCTGTAAAAATTTAATAAATTTCATTAAAATTTAAATTTAAATTATGAATTTCATTAATAATATTATTAAAATTACACATACATACATATATTAAAATATAGTTTAGATTAAAAATAGAACATTAATTAAAATACACATACACACATATCGTAAGCAATATATTTACGTATGTTCATATTCATTCTTCATTAAAATTACAAAAATACTGAGACCGTAAAGTGCAAGCCAAGCAAAATCATTTCGATTTTATTCATTATAGTTTTTCTGGTTATCTAAATTAAAAATAAAAAAAAATGATTTAATTATGAAATTATTAAAAGTTTAGCATGATAAAAAATATTTTTATGTACAACATGATTTCCTAATCAATAAAAATTTAAATTATATTATGAAAGTGTAATGAAAACGAAATAAACAGTTAAAAAATATTATAAATAAAAAGCAACACCGTGTTACGGTCAATGCAGAAAATGTAATGAGATAGAAGTTTCGTATTTGATTTAAACAAAACTTACGCACATTTAAAAAAACAAAAAACTCTCACTTAAGAATTATTTTGCAATTAAATAATGGAATGGAAAAACGGAAAGGATATTGCCATGAAAATGATGCTGAGTCAAATATTTCAATGATATTGCCATGTTAGTGCAAATTAAAATATTTAAAATCTCTACAAATTTTAAATCCCAATTAAATGCAATAGTTATTTCAAATTCAGGAAAGGTTGTTGCGTGTTAAGAAAATGCATTCCGCAATTATGTTTAAATTTCAAGTGAATTGTGATATAATGTACTATATAAAACACTAGGTGAAACATATGGGAATTAATTTTTGAGATGCAAGCTAAATACGCAGTACATGCAACGCAAATGCATTTCACACAGTACGGGTTTAATAGATATCACACAAAATAATAGTCGAAACATGTGCCTTAGCTTTCAATATACCACATGAACATTATTTAGTGGTGTTATTTACTAAGCACTACTTAACTTTGAGTGTTTATATATATATGTATATGAATATAAAATTTTTTTTCAGACTTTTTTAATTTTTACGAATGAATATTATTAATCGAATGGATAAACCAGTCAAAGTATGTTTTTTGTTTGTTATTTATTTTTGTTATTTATTGTTATTATTTACAATTTATTATTTAAATCAGTTCCTTAATTTGATTCCAAAATTGTAAAAGTATTATTTTTCATTTGATAAAAACCTGAGTAGATTATTATTTTTCTTTGCCCTCTTCTTTATAACAACAATTGCTATTATTAAATTCTTGTTACTCAAAAATTTTACAGAACTGTTGGGAACGGAACTTACCACCACAATGTTTTTGAATGGAAAAAATTTTTTATTTACAAAAATATTTTGATTCGATATTTATCCCTTTCCTTCCCCTGGCTACTCAAACTAGCCACTAAGTACCTTCACTCGGAACTTTGAATCGGTTAACTTTAAAAGAGTGAAAAGAATATCGAAACGCTTTCGACCTTCAAACTGATCAATTTTGCTTAATTTTCATAAATGCACGTTACATTAAAAAAACTAAAAATTGTTTTGCATAAACCAATTATAGTACAATTTAAGATTTTTTTTTGTAATGCCAACAATGTTATCCATAAGATTGGCGGAAACAAAAACAGGAAGCTGCCATTTTCCAATTACTATAGGAAAGAACATTTTTCAGAAAGGTGTTCTCGAAAAAGCCCAAAAGAAAAAAATAGCAATACCTAAGTTTGTGTCCGTGTAATTGTTAATGTGTGAATTAGAAATAAGAAAAAAATATTATAGAATTGTAAATTTTAAATTGCACACACTTAAACACTTAACATTTAACTCAGGCAAAATTTAAATTGATAAGGTTGGGTCAAACCAATGGTTTGTATAGTAGCACTTTTCCTTTCAACAAGAGAAAATACTGCTTTTAAAATCAATCTATGTATATCTATGTATAACCTATACTACACTATTAAAATAATTTTTATTCATAAACGAAACTATTTCTAGGATTGCATATATTTAGGATAAACGATTTATGCACCCTTTGAAATAATGGAAAAATAAATTTAAAAAGGGATTAACATAATGCTCGATTTTAAGAGTTAATTGTGTGAGTTAAGAAAAATAATTATAGTTTTTAATGGCATGGAGTTTACTGTTAGCTTTCTGAATTTATAAAAAATTGAAAAAGCTTGCAGTTTCGGAAATATATGGTCCCAAATATTCAAATTTTAAAAATTTCGAGAGGCGATAACTTGAGAGGGGGTGGAAATGGGAAAAAATTTTCTTCTAATGAAATGAACTATTTGTTAGTGTCTAAGAGCTGCTAAAGTTTCAGGCTCCCTCAATCTGTGATCTAGAAAAAAAACGAAATCAAAAATTTGGAAAAAAACGGATTTTAGATAACGGTTAATATGAACGGCCATTCTGTTGAAGAAGCCAGCCACTATATATCTGCACTTGCACAATTTGAAAAATACTTATATTTTCACTGCAATAAATAGTTAAAAAATGCCGTTTTTAGTGTTTTAGGGGGGTATAACTTTAATAGGGGGGGGGAGATAGATAAAAATTTTGTTCTACAGAAATATGTTTTTAGTAAAGATAGTTTTTAGTAGAATGTTTGCAAACAAGTCCACGGACAGACGGACGGACGGACAGAGTGAAACTAATAAACACTTTTTTTTTTTAAATTTGTTGGAAATGTGCTAAAAACAAAAAAATAAATTAAATTTGCTTAGTGTTAAATTTTTTGAACTGAAATATTTGAAAAATTTCTAAAGTATTTCAAAAAAAAAACATTTATAAAACAAAAATAAAGCTACGCCTGACTAAATTCAACAAAAATTAAAGCCATACAATTTTTTTTTTCAATTTTAAAAAATGTGCTTTTTAAAAATATTAAATAAGTACACAAAAAAAATATCAAGTGACTTGTATATACTTTTCATTTCTTAAGAGTTCCATTTTTTTTTTTGCTGAACATTATTATGATTGTGCACTTTTCATTATATATATGTATAGACGGTGCTTTTCAGAAAAAAAAAATTTTTATTAATATATTTTAATTTTTTTAAAATATTAATTAAATTTTCTTTAACATTAATTTTTTTAATTAATCGTTAATATCTTGGATTATCCAGAACTCGCCTTTTTTAGTCGATTTCAATATTTGTAATTTGACTGGTTTTCTTTTAGCAAGCTTTCCCTGTGGTACACCCCATTGAAATACATCGAAACGTTTACTTCTGTCCATAATAAATGCTCTTTTTTTTTTAAATATTTTTTATATATTCACACTCTTATATAACACATATAGAATAATATGAATTAAATGCATACGTATGTAAATATATGCATTGTTTTTCTTTTATGTACATTTTTACACAAATTTTCACAAAAATAATTTGAAAATAAAAAGGAAATGAAACAATAATAATGTTTTTGTACAACGAAATGCTCAACAAAAAATAAGAAAAAGAAAAAAAAAAAAACAAAAAAATGTTTTATCGTATTTTACACCTTAATTAAATTGAAGAGTTTATAACGATCTCTCTTAATATTAAAAAATAACAATAATGAAATTATTTTTATTAAAAAAACTCAACAATGCTACAATTTTTTTTAATTTATTATTTGATTTTATATTTTTTCATATTTTATTCAATTATATTTAATAAAACTATTTTATTTTATTTCTACAGTTAATTAAAAAGTCAATGTACACTATAATGAAATAATCAATTTGAAATGCGATTATCATGGTTATTTATTTAAAAAAAATCATTAAAATCATATTTCATATGAATAGCACGTGTTATAAAAGGCTTAACCCTTTCACTAACGAGTCTTTTTTTCTCTAAGGAAAACTTTTAAATTGAAGTTCCATTATGGCTAACTTCACGTCAAACTGTTAATCAGAAATATTGTAAAAATAATCGAAATATCAAATATTGTTGGAACCGTATTATCCTTATGGTATCGTAAGGGTTAAATAGATTGTCCAGAAAATTATTGTATATTCATTCAAAAGAAATCTTTACACATTAAAAATACTGTTCATTTAATAATAAAATTTCATATAAATTTTTTTTGTTTTGATAAAAAGAATAATTGATTTTCAATATCATTTATTACCGACCGTATTGTGTAAACAATAGGTAGGTTATGTGATGGCAACAAATTTTGCATATCGAGTTTTCGGTGGGAACGTACTTCTCCATAGTAGGGAAGTGTAAATAAACTATTTTTAGCAACCTGTCGGTCTGTCGGTCTGTCGGTCTGCCGGTCTGTGTGTGCACGCGTGTATCTCAAGTTCTGCTGAACCGATTTTGATGAAATTTTATATGTAAGTTTATTTCCACCATGGCACGGATTGATCAACTTTTGGTATATATCAGGCCTCGGGAACTGTACTTTTTAGCGGGCCTGTTTTACATTTTTGAACATTTTGAAGAAAGTATTGAACCGATTTACTTGAAATTTCATATATAAGCTTTGCTCGACCGCCCGCGAAAATTGCTATGTTTTGGAAGAAATCAGGCATCGGCAACTAGACGTTTACTACGGGCCAAATATACATTTTTGTGTATATAAAGAGAAATAATTAACCGATTTCATTGAAATTTAATATTTGAATTCCTCGTATTAAAACAATGAACATATAATTTTTTTGGAAAGATCAGGGCTCGAAAACTGATTTGCGGGCCGATTTTACATTTTTCACCATTTCGAAGAAAACATTCAACCGATTTACTTGAAATTTCATATATGAGCTTTGCTCGACCGTCCGCGAAACCTCCTAGCTTTTGGAACAAATCAGGCATCAGCAACTGGACGTTTACTACGGGCCAAATATACATTTTTGTGTATATAAAGAGAAATAATCAACCGATTTCATTGAAATTTAATATTTGAATTCCTCGTATTAAAACAATGAACATGTAAATTTTTTGGAAATATCAGGGCTCGAAAACTGATCTGCGGGCCGATTT